GAATTTGGAGAACGTCCCGATCGACGGGAGATAGAAAAGTGGGAAATAAGTGTACGAAACGATTCGGGACGCCTCGAGTCTTTAGAATCGGGGAGAGATTCGGGATTTAGGATAGCAAGATTCGGACACCGGATAAAGTTTCCGCGCGAATGAAGATTTAGAGGCCGGGAATGTGCGGAGAAAGAGATCCACAGGATTCGAGAGAAGCGGATTCCAGGGGAAAAGTAGAAAATAAGTAAATAAGCGTAAGAGGGGCTAAAAAAGATCGTGCAATCTGGGATTCAGGATTTAAGGGTTCGAAGTTCTGCGCGGCTGAACGTTTAGATGGAGAATTTAAGGACCGCGAGGACCTCCGGAAATGCAAGCGGGATCCGAGCGCGGAACTGGCGAAACTTTTGGCGCGGGATTAATAAATTGATGATCGTTTTTATACTGCGAGCCGCTTCACAATCTCGTCCAGCTAATCTCTTTTTTTTTTCCTCTCTAAACCAATTACGAATTCTCCGCCACTTCGATGTAACACGCCGTTATTGCCAATGCAGCGCCGGTTCCGATCAAGTGCCGAACGATATTCGAAGGAAAGCTCGCGTCCATCCCGCGCGCATCTGCAGTTACAGTATTATTACGTCACTTTTGTATCAACCTGACCTAGATTCCGCTAGAAAGGATGAAGCTTAACCCGTTGGGCCACCGATATCTGTTATCGATCGCCTCGGAGAGAATTGCGTCAGAGAAGAGTTTCTTATTTATCTGTATTTTTAGATGGTCCAAGATTTATCGGACATACGAGTGAAAAATTTGAGACGCAAAAATAAAAGGAACAAATAAAAGGAATGGAAACGTAGATAAAAAATTTGAAATGTGAAAACAAGAGATGCTTTAAAATTTTTCCAGATTCTGAATTCAAAATCCGAGATCTTGAAAAATCTGAAAACTGGATAATTTTAAATATTCATAAATTTTGAAATTTATGTTTTGAAACTTGAATCAAAAATTCCGAAACCCTGATGATTCGGTTAATTTAATTTCAATTAAGGATTTGCTTAATTCTCGCAAAATTGCTCTCAAGGATGTAATCTTCAGGCATTTAATTAACCTTTAATTTATCCTTAAGACTTAAATGAAGGAATCGTCTTCGAGCTTAACTGGTTCTGAAGAAATTATTTTCAAAGAATTATCCTGAAGGATGTAATTGATCATCAAGAGGAATTATCGTTAAATACTTGATTAATCCTTATCCTGAAAAGCCCAATTGGCTCTCAAGAAATCCCTTTAAATACTTTGATCGGTTCTCAGGGAATTTTCCTCAAGCACTTAATTGACCCTCAAGGAAGTTTCCTCAAGCATTTCATTAAAGGATTCCTAATCACCACAGGATCGGTGAACCAACGGTTCGTACTTAATATTAGATAACATAAGGAAGAGCTAGTTTTATACTTGTTATACTCTGATGAATGGATGTACACGGACCTCCGGAAGAAACCAGCAACGGTAGCAAGTAATCTGTTCATTCATTTGCCACTGGTGTTCCCCTCATTTTTCCGGATTGGCCCGCGTACATCCGCGATTTTGCAAGAATTTTACAATGTTCCTCTTGTTGTTACACTGGTGCTATGAATGTAAGGAAGACCAAACAGAAGAGGTGCCTCTGCGTAAATTTAAGCGCGAATACTGCTACGTCCATACGTCACTTTTTACTACTATTGTTGTAATTTTATTATTCATTGTGTTATTAAAATCGCGAAAGCGCGTTAAATTCGATGTTCATGCGACTGATGCAGGATCCGATCGAAGTACTTAAGAATCGAAGTACTTAATTGCCTTTTAGCGATGATCATATTTTATACTTGCGAACTTTCCGCCGAGCCTAGAAAGCGGTTAATACGCCGGGTATCTCCGATTGACTGCGAAAGTAGCTTCGCAGCAGGCAAAGGAACTGTTTGAAAATTAAGAATTTATTTAGAGAGAATATTTATATTGGATTTTCTCGTATTAATGAAAAATGTAATTATTACATGTTTGTTTCCTAATTTGCTACTTCGTGATTTTTTTAAATCACTCTTTAGATCCTTAATTTCTTCAATTTTTCAATATTTAATTTATATTTAAATATATAAATATTTACATATGTTTAAATCCGAATTTTTTATAATTTGGAACTTATATTTATATATTTTTAAATTTTGTATGCATATTTTTAGATTCTTTTATTTAAGAATCGTTAATTTTTTGTATTTTAAATATGAATATTTTGAGATATATCTTCCAGAGATATATTGCCTTAATTATTATACATGCGATTATATTAGGAGTCTACATACCAAACGAAGACAGTCGTAGTCAATCCGAGATGTCCTGCGTAAATCGACACCGTGCGAATCCGCGGTCCATTTTTACGATCCTTTTTCTCCTCTCTCTGATATCTTCAAACACCAGCGACTTCAACTAGCCATTTCGATCGCAGCTTAATTTTGATAATAGTAAAGTTATCGTAATAAATAGTTTCATGTCGTATTCGAATGATTATATTTTAATGAAATATAATGTAATACATTATACATAGGTTGTACTATGTTGTAAAAATAATTATTACATTAAAACAATGCAGTTGACACAGTTTGCTGTGAAAATCCCACAATGTGCGTCCACACGTTGTGCTACTTTCATCCTCATAATCTTTTCTATTTATAAACATATTCGATAGGGCTGCATAGTTTTTATGATGATTAATAGAAATGGTAAAGGTGGTCTCGAATGCTGGTTCGTCCCAACGTGGAAATATTTGTTGGGCTCTTATTACCTCAACACCTGTTTCTGTTAATCTGCGTTTCATCTTAAAATATAATTTTATATAAAACTCCAATCGTTCGAGTGGCTGGTGTTTGAAGGTAGCGGGAAAAGAGCCAAAGAGGATGGAAAGTCGCGAGCTCCTCGCGACAGATTTCAAGGATGCGTCCTGCATATTACACGCCCCGTACTTGCAGTCGTCGTTATCAATATTTATTATGTATATAGATAGGATTGTATTGTACTTTTTAGGTGGAGAAATGAGTTACAATACCATACGTACACAAGTGCCTGCTATGTAACGTAATCGTTGTAAACGAAATATATATAAATACAAATGATTATTTATGTAACTGCTCCGCCTTTATCTTTTTCCCTCCTCCTTTTTTTGTATTTTTAATAACACTATTGCCTTAACGATCGCCTACGCAGTAGCTTAACATCGAACATGTTACACATCGCCGATCTAGAATCCCACGTACACAAGTTACGCGTGCGCGCGCGGCGACTAAACTGAAATCGACACATTCTATCGTCGATATAAAACACTATTTGTAAATTCTATCGTTTTTTTTTTTTCTTTTTCTTTTTCTTTACAAGAGGAGATGCGCTAACTTACATTACATTACTTTCGACTGCTTCTAGCTTTCACTTGCAAAAATTGCAGAAGAGAGAGAGAGTTATCAGAAAGGAATAAAATTAAACAATAAATATTAAAGCTACCGTCGGAAATCCGATAAGTCCAGGGATGAAGTGCGATGAGAAATTGCGACACACTTTTTCATTAGGTTTTGTAAGTACACGCAACTCTGTGGGACATTTGATGCTTTATTACTTATATCAAAATATACATGAATCTATTTATACCTGGAAAGTATAGGCTAAATGTATCGAAAGAATCACACCAGCGTGAGTAAATCAAAGCAGAATCAATAAATAAGATTGTACGCGACGAGTCGTCGCGGGAATTATTTAATCTTCACAAAAGATTAAAATTAATCGTCTCGCGAAGGATCGCGACGAGGGCGCACGGCTCGCCGGGTCGAATGAAGAAAAAAAAAGAAAAAAAAAGACAGACTCAGCTCAACGAACTATCGCGGATTACAATCGTACAGTCGTTAAAAATCGCTTACGGAACTATTCGCTCACCCTAGATAGGACCTAAATACACAGCATATACAAAGAATTATCCTTAATTATGCGCGACGCTATAAACAGTTGGAACGCCTCGCACGTGTGCGAAATGGCTTTCTCTTATCGGCTCGCACCCATCCACGCAGTCGATCGGTCGATCAATCATCAATCAGACGCACGGCAGATAAACATTTACCTAGAATTATACACATTATATCCCAACTTATCTATTATCGCGTCTGGTATCGCTCGGTTAAGCTATCTGTAAAAAGAGAAGAACGCCAGGCGAACACCGCGCTATTCCTATATAGACCGCTAGAAAGACTTTATTGTCGAAATACAAAGGTTAATTAATCAAGTAAATAATTCGCTAGCTTTCCGCCTCTGTCGACTGCGAGGAACAACGCAGCGACGAGACGGAGGGAAAAAAGAAAATTAAGAAAGAAGAAAAAGACAAGGTGAACGGCTCATTTTCGAAAGGAACCCGTTTGCTCGCTGGATTCGCGAAATCTTATTGTTGTATTTATGAAATCTTATTGTATTATTCGATGCGAGAAAAATTGGGAAAGCGTTCGCGGTATCTTGAACACGTCGTGAAATTTCATTTCACAGTGCGAGAAACGCGAGTACATATTTATCAAGGCGTGAAAATTTTTATGGCAGATTTAAATGGAAATTCTAAATCGCGTTTGCTTATCTCTAAAACGTTTCCTCTCGAACTATCTTTGCAAATGAGCGCGACTTGAGTTTCAGCGATGACGTTTTCGTGGTCCTTCAGAGGAGCTTTCGCTTCCGGAATGATTGCGTTTGCGTTTTTTTTCTTATCACGGAAACACCCTGTATTCGCGGGGATGATCCCTGCTCTTTGTCCTTCTCGGGATCGACCGTATGGGTCCGATTTTCGAAAAACAGGCCGTTCGGGAGTTACAGTTCTACATCTACGCTCTGCTTTACTCGGCTCCGCGATTATGCTTTGCAAATGTATCCTTGCTGGCATCCCGGCGAGACGAGTAACACTAGTGTGTCGTAATACTGACAGTAAAGAGAATAAATCGCTATCGACGTTAAAACTTAAACTCGCCCCCCCCCCCCCTACCTCCTCCTCCCCCTCCCCCCTCCCGCTCCCCGTCTACCATTTCGATCGGCTAACGAGTTACGATTACGATCACGGTTACAGATTATAATTACAGATACAACGCTTATCCGTATATATATATTTTTTTAAATCTTCATTGTTGCCGCCGCCGCCGCTCGCCTACGCGAGAATACACGTCCGGAAATTTACTGTCTGATTCAATTCAACTCTCCGACAATCACTGACAGTACAAATTAACGCTCGGGCAATTGTAATCGTGATTGCCATAATTGGAACTGACACTCGGGAGATCCGGAATCGCAAATACGATTGACAAGTGGAATCGTTCCGCTAATTAGGGCATCGATCTTCTCATCGAGAATATTCAAATTTGCAGTCGTGACGGTTTACGGGTGGAGATACTTAAATACTTACGCTTCCGCGATAGATCTAAAATTAATACTTAAACTTATAATTTCGCAGGACGTTCGCGATTCAAAAAACGTTCGCGAACAACGCACGCAAATCACATTTGAAGAATTTCGAAAATAAATACTTAAACTTATAATTATCTTGAAGGACATTCCTGATTGCCAATTTAAGCAGCGAAATTCTACAAATTTTCATGCAACTTAAATTTAAAAGGAATTTCGAAAATAAATAAACTTAAACTTACTTTGAATTATCAGTTATTTTGAAGGATATTCTTGACTTGCAATTTAAACGTAAAGCAAGTTAAGTTGAGAGAAAACTTCGGAAATAAATAATTATTTAAACCTACAATTATATTTTGAAGGATATTCTCGGCTTGCAATTTGGCGCGCAAATTTAGAGAATTTCGAAAATCCAAAATACTCAATAATGTAGAAAGACAAGGAATTTGAGGAACTAGCGACTCATGACGGATTCCGGAATCCGTGACTTACTCCTCACTCTTACTCTCCCGGGAGACGAATATGCGATAACGATTTCAGCGATAACGATTACTGATACCGATTGTGCGTCCAAGGAGCACCAGAAATATTCTGAATTCAATGGGACACTCCGTGTGTATGTTTACATATATGTGTATATAGATATATATATATATATATAAAACAGTATAAAACACTTATATATTAACGCATCAAGCCGTCTGATTAGTCTGGATTATATCGGGCGATAACGCAAAATTGCCGAGATTATCGCTTTCAATAAACCAGATTTAAAAAAAAATGATACGCGCGTCGAAGCACAATTCGTTGGCTAACCCTTTAACCAGTTAATTATTAATGTAATTAACTAAATAAATACACATAAATAGACTTCACATTTTATCTGAGTGATATGTATGTGTAAATTTATATATTTAAATATTTGTACCTAAATTCAAATATTTACATTTAAAATATTACGTAAAATTAAAATTCTTGGATTTTCGAAACTCCCGATCCGCAATTTTCACGAAAAAAAAATCTGAAAGGATTTCGCTGGTTAAAGGGTTGAACTAAAATTTACGTAAAAGTTACTCATAAATAATAATGCGGCTAGCTAAATAAATACCAATTTTCAATATATACAAAAAGAAGCAGTGATGAGCACATACAAAAAACATGATCAGACGCCAGTAACGAAACATAGATAACAAAGTTTTCATCACTTGCTCGCGAGAAGGAAGACTAACACATTTCCATCTTTTTACTCTTCTCATCTTTCGAACAGTCGGAATGCTAGGATTAAATCGAAACGAATTGTCGATAGCGGAAAGCAAATTCGCTTTTCGGGCGAAATCGTGCGACAATTTCTGAGAGTTATGATCTAGTTTTTCATACAATTGCGTTATACGCACACCTGGAACTTTATCTTTTTACGATTCAAAAATTCGAGAAACTAAAGTCAATCACAGTAAAAATTATTACATTGTAAAATTTTTAGATTTCTGGATATTAAAAGATATTTGTGCTTTTTAATTCCTAAATTGTCGGATCTTCCCTTGAGACACTCTATATTACGGAAATAGACGATCTTCCTCGCGTTATGCCGCATAATGACGTGTTCTTGTTTAATATAAGAAACTTGCGAGGTAAAGCGTGAAAATGAGAACGAACGAAGGGAAAGAAAATAGAATAAAAAAATTTATTACTATTATTGCAATTAATTATAAATATCAAGAAAAGATTCTAAGAATTCTAAGACAATTCAAAGAAGTAAAAATTCGAAAAAACTGAAGATTTAAAGTCTGAAGACTTCCGAATCGGAAAATTCGAGAATGTAAAAATCATAGAATTCAAAAACTGAGGAATCTCCGACTGTCACGAAATACATCTCACCAATCCATATGTCGTTTGATATTCTTAAAATCCACACTTTCGTTGTTTAGATCAAATTAATACCACACGATTATATTGCATTTTCGAAAAAATATAGGAACAATTAATGTGTATTGAAATAAACTCACTTTCTAGATCCGTCATTATCCCGTTCGCTCTTCCATTTCTATATCATTCTTGTCACGAGGATATTTTTTTCGAATTTTAATATCTTATCAAAAATTCATCGCTCGTGCGACGATAAAAGATGTACAGAGGTCTCTACATTTTTAACGTTTCCATCGGAAACCACGAACTCATCGCGAATGCAAATTCACGCTTCGCGTCGCCGATTCGCACTGCCACGTTGATGCAGCCGAGAACAGTCGCACCTTGCGAAGGTGCATAGATCCCTCCTATGGCCTTTAGGCGTTCTCCTTTACGTAATTGCACTCTGTGTCTCCGAGTTACAGGATGTTCTGAAAATAGTCGAGCAAGTTTTCCGGCGCGGCGAAAACGATGGAACGAAAGATCGCGTATATCTTCGAAAAATTTTCATCTTTTCGCTAATTGAATTTAAAATTTGATTCTTTTGTTTCTTCAGTTATTTATTTATGTAACAGGCGAGAAAATCGATTATTCTTACCCGAAAACTGCGAGATCTAAAGATAAAAGGTCTAAAAATTTTAGATTGTAAAATTCGATGGATTTTAAGGTCGCAACGGTTTGATTTTTCTCAATGGTACTCGCAGTTCTCTTTTTACGTAGCGACATCGCGATACAAAATCGAATTTGCTTTCCAATCACGATGCGACTCGCAAGAAAGTCGGTTGCACCGTGACAGCGTCACGATATGTCTTTTCTTCGCGGTGTATCTCGCGCGATAATTCGCCAAGGCGAAGAAAGATTTATTGTGAATTTCAATCTCGGAATTCGCTTCTGAAAGCAGCAAAACCGCAAAGCGGCATTTTCACAATCTTGATGCGCGATTCAAATTAGGTACGTCCGAAATCCTGTGAATTGGAAATTTTCCCGAAAATCTGTATCAAAGACAAGAGTTTATTTTGCTTTTGTAGAATTTTATAGTCAGAAGTAAAGGATAAAATTTCTGAATGAAGACCCGAGATTTTCGCACGAAATTCGAATCGCCAAAACTGACATCGCCTCGCGATTTTTTCACCAAAATCACCAACGCGGACGAAGAATCTTTCTCGCGGGATTCTTGAGTCGGGACGAAGAGGTCCTAGGACGAGGAGCTTCGAGGTTTTCTCGTGCAAAATTTGATTGCCGAAATCGAGGTCGCCTCGCAGTCCATCGAACATCAAGAATCATGGATAACGAATCTTCCTCGTGGGATCTTCGAATCAGGACGAGCGGACGCAGCTGATGAAACAAGGACCTCGAGACCTCGTCGCGTGTTAAGGACTCGTGTCAGGATCGAAAATCGGCTCGCGGAAATCAAGAGTGGCAGGATCTCGCAGGATTCTCAGTTCGGGGACGAATGCGAGGACCAAGTCTCGCCTTAAACGAGGACCTCCAGGCTCTCGCGCGAGCGAGCCTTCTGCTGTCCGCACTTGCCGTTTGCCTGCACTATCATGGCGACCGACTGGCAGCCGCTCTCGGACGCGACCGGTCGTATCGCCGGCATCGCCAGTCTAAGTTTGTACCAGAATTTCCGACCACCGCTACCGGCCGCAGTTCCGTCACCGCCGCCACCGCTATCGCTGCCGCAGCCTTCTTGCCAACGCAGGATCGTCAACCGATCGAGGCAGATATCGCCGGTGTCCCGGCGCTTCGCAATCGTCGCCGTCGTGCTGGGCAACCCCTTCAGCGCGACGACGATCGTCCGCGTGGACAACGACGACAGCTGCTTCAGCACCGTGCACACACTTGCGTCCGTCCAAATGTTGCCCAAGGAAGCCGGACTAAGCACGACGATGACTCGTCGAGCCGTGGCGGCGTGCGGGCCGATCTCCAGGCTCCCTGCAACACGAAGAATGATCCTATTTAAGTAGAGCATTTTTTTTTTGGAGAAAGAATCTTTGAAGCTTCAAGCATGCGAAGAAAAATACTTTCAAGAGAGAGAGGGATAATTTTCTCGGAAATTTTTTCTAAATGGCAAAATCATAAGTATTGGAATTTTTCGAATTAAAAAATTCAGCAATTATTTCAGTAATGAGACACTTTGCATCTTTTTTTAATCGAATCTTGAGAAAGGATCTTTATTAATATTTAAATTGGAATATTTGTGAATACAAACTACGAAAATTGTTACGAAACGAAAGGAGAGGAAGAATATTTTCAGAAATTTATTCTATAAATAAAAATTTATTCTATAAATAAATAAAAATCTTAAAGTAGAATTTTTTGCGCTGGATTTTTCGAGTTTTTAAATTAAAAAATTGGTGAATTATTTCTCGATAATGGGATGCTTTTAAAAAATTCAGCGTTCATAAAAGAATACACGTTATTATAATTATCGGCGTGCACAGTAATGCAGAGGTTTCGGTTTTCATTCAAAATATCGGTCACGATGCTTTTCCGTGAAACGTTCGCGAGTCCGATTACGGACTCGACACTCCGATAGTGCGCTGAATTTTGCACGTGTACAAACGCACTCTTTTCCGTTGGAAAATATTGTCCTGCCACGGCGTGGCGGCACACGGTTGAATTTCACGGGCGATAAAGTGAAAGCAAACCGGCAGTGGTGTACGAGCAATAAAACCGCGCCAGCTCGCCGCGTAATGTATGAGTTACCGCGCGCCACCGTGTATATATTCAGCCTTCATGCAAGCAAGCAAGCGCCCGCGAGCTCAGCAAAAACTGATCGACCGAATAGATGCCGGCGTTACGCTCCGTTGTTTCCCCGGGGGAAACTTCGTTAACTCCGAATGAAACAGTGATCCGCAGTGTCTCTGTGTGCTGCTTGAAAATGCACGGAGTTTGATTAAAATCGGTATTTAAGTGAGAAACCGCGGAGAAAAGTGCCGCTTCCAATGACGCTAGTTCCATCGACGTGGACAGCTCAAATAATTAGATGATTAAAATAATGAGAAGGTTAAAGTAACTTAATTAGAAAAAATTGCAAAATCGCTGACTTGTAAAATTGGAATGAAGGTGTCGGCTCTTACGCTAAATACGAGAGGTATTTAAAACTATGACAATCTCTCTATAAATCTTTTCTATCGATGCCTCCGTCGAGGAAAATCAGTTCCACGATTGCGGATGAAAAGTGTTCACTTTCTAATAATCGTTCTTAATTTTTAAAGCACGAATCCGATGTATTAAAAAATATCATTTCTAATCGATGAAACCGAGAGATAGCATCGCCAACGTGCAAATCAGGATTTTAATTAAAGCAAGGAACCAATTGCCCGCGGCTTGGTAAAAATCTGCGCTCTCAGTTGGGGCGAAATTATCAAATTGCCGAAAACTTATTCAACTCGAGCCCCGTTCGAGAGCGAATACACGCATTCCAAATTTCATCAAAATTCAAATTTCCGAATCGACGAGGCAGCTCGGCGCGCGCGTACGAGTGTTAGGATTAATCGAACCGCAGATGAGATCGGGGAGACCGAAAGACTCGATTGGCTCATCATCGTCACTCGCAGGTGGAACTTCCGGCCCGGCCCGGAGGAGAATTATGACTCTCCTGCGGACGCACGCGAAATCCCCACGCTTTGATGATAGCGAACTTTGTTCATTGACTATCAAACGTCGGCGGTGCGGCCGGACCGGCGGCGGTTGCGAAGTTCACGTGTTTGAGTCCCTTTCGCTCGCGCGCGCACGGACCCCGAAGCGACCTCGACGGCAACGGCAGCCATCACGCGCACAGGCAGGATGTAAACTCATAAGCTGTGTAATCGGGATACCGTAATTAGCGCGCCGAGTACACGGCCGAGTACACGGCCGAGTATACGGTGTGCAAGCTGCACAGACGAACAGCAGACACACATGTGCGCGCGCGCGCGCGCGCGTGATCTCCGAGATCTACGCATTTGGCCGGCTGTATGTACGCCGTCCGATCGTGCACTTTAGTGGAGGACGATAAAATGCACTCCGCACTCGGCGTAATCAGCTTGGAATGGTAAGATAGCGTACCGGCTAATCGGACGGCTGTAATTGGCCCGTTAATGTTGTCCGAGAGCAAAGTGCATAATCTGGGAATCGCATAGTGTTGTCTAGATTTGCAGTGCGCGATGCAACACATGCGGTGCGTTCCACGCTTCGATGATATAATGAGCCAAGTAATTAGAATGTTAATGATCATTTCTGCAAATTGCAAGGCGAGTTTCGGACCTGCGGCAATGCTCCGCGACGCAATTTTCGACAGTTCTTCGAGTGTAAAGCTCGCTTTGGAGGATCTGGAATTCGCGATTCAGATCTGTTTATAATTTATTAACTTGCTCATTTTTACGACTGACAATTTTGTGTCACTTCGAGATTAATCCATAAAATCCAAGAATGGACAACTATTTCAATCATTCGCATAATTTTTATATTGTTTCTAATTTTATCATTCTGAAATCAATGCGATGAATGTAATACGATCTGGATTTATTTTCTCCCTCAATGCAAGATATATTATATTTCTACTGCACTACTACTAATTATTTTAATTGGTTTTTTTCTTATGATCAACAATTTTGTCATACTTCAATATTAATAAATTCGTCGGGCTGCTAAGTTCAAGAACTATCCCAATTCACGCTAATCATTATATTTATCATTTCCAATTTTGGAATCAACACAATATGAGATTAATCTTTCCCCTCCAATGCAATTCTAAATACTATGCTAAATTCCCCACTGCTACTAATAATTATTCTGATTCACTTTGTCTCGCACTATTTTTATCACTGTCTGAATTAATTATGTTAATTTAAAGAAATTCCCGAATATTTTTCGCGATGCATCTCCTTCTCCGACGTCGCAGTCGTCCTGGCAGTATCCTTCAGCAACTTCGCGGCCCGAAAATGGCGCACTCGTGGTACACGTGGGGTCTCCGTGCACCTAATTCGATACCACGGCCGCCGCAGAGACAAACGAGACACTCCACGGCCGAGAAAGCGCGGCGAACTTTCTAATTCAATTTGCCGAGTCGCCAAGTTGCCGTAATTCCCACGATCCGCCGAAGGGTTTTCTTCTCCTCCTCTCATTACTTCCGGTTATGTTCCGCGCCCACCCGCGGAGGGCCGCCACCCGTGTCCTTGTCCAGGATAACAATCCCACGACCGGGTCCTTCCGTGACGCCCGTCGGGTTGCAAATCTTCTCTGCGCTGAAATAAATTGCCCCGACAAATGCCCGTCTGCAACCGGCAAAACGGCCGTGCCATCGCGTGAGCGGCGAAAAAAATTGCCCCACATTGTTACCAGCGCGGTGGTTTTGGTGCTACAATTGGATTGGCAACGGCGGAACAAAGGCAGGCCGACCGGTTATTTTGTGTTTGTCGGCTGGTTTCCTGCTTCTACGCGAAATTTCATCCAATTGAGTGCCCCCGTGGCTTAGAGATCTACATTGTTAGGTGTCTTTTGCGGTTCCGTAATTTTAGAAAATTGCAAGAAATAGATTCGGGACATTATATTGTCTCGCGACTTATTTTCGAATTTAACAGAGCTGGTTTTAAAATAGCGGAATTAATAAGTGCATGAAAGTTTTTGAATTCAATCAATTATACTGTCGGTCAATTTCCTGCTTCTATGCAAAACTTGATACCGTTGAGTGCTCCGTTATTTAGGGATCTACATTGTCTCCATCGGTTTCGTAATTTTAGAAAATTGCAAAAAGTAGATTCGGGACATTATAAAATTTCGCGACTCACCTTTGAATTTAACAGAGTTGGTTTTAAAATAGCGGAATTCATAAGTGTATAGATGGTTTTGAATTCAATCAATTACACCGTCTGTCGATCAATTTCCTGTCCTTAAGAAGATTCGGGATATTATTAATTAGTTTCGCGAATTACTTTTAAATCTAACAAAGTACATACTAAAAAAAAATGAAGTTGATACATTTATAGATGTTTTTCACTTTAATTGATTATATTATCGGTTAGCTTTCTGCTGGTACGCAAAATTTGATCAAGTGTCTTCCTTTAGAGATCTATATTACACATATTAGATATTTTGTGATTCCACATTTTCAGAAAATTGTAAGAAATAGATCCGACACATTTTGCAGGAATTTCGCGATCTAACAAAGTTGTTATTAAAATAACAGAATTAATCAATTTATTTAAATGTTTCAAAGTTGAATAAATTTTATTGCCAGCTAATTTTCTGCTTCTAGGATTCGCTTTATTGCATTCGTTGTTCAGGAATCTACATTGTTAAGTATCTTCGCGGTTCCGTAGTTTTAAAACCCGCAAGAAGCAGATTCGAGATATTGTAAAATTTCGCGACCTTCGAATCTAACAGAATTAGTGTTAAAGTGACAGAAAAAAAGTATATGTGTGCTTTTGAAAAAAAAATGAATGAACATATCAAACATTAACACATCAATCTCTAAAATCCTTAAATTTAGCTGACTAAATTTGAAAATCTTTGACTTGCTAATAAAGTACTAACTCGTGCAAATTTAATACTCGGTTCAAAATTTCTATTTAAAGTTGCCTTTGTATTCCGATTCGATGGTCTTAATTTATTTCAACCTGATTCCATAAATGCACGAATAATAAATTCAATTCTCAACCCTCATGCATATATCCATCCCCCTTGTGTACACGGCGTTTGATCTTCCGACCTAATTTGCATTCGCACCACTCTTAATTAAACCATTGCGGCGCGAGACGCGGGCGCGCTCATTACGCGCTCACTAATCCCGACTCTCGACCCGGCAAAACCATCGCGCGATCGATTTTCCGCACTTTCCGCGAAAGCTAATTCGATTCGAAAGCGCGAATTCGTTGCCCGTGCGATAACGCGGCTTTTATTCAGCCCTAATTCATAAGCTGCGCCCCGTAAAATTACTTATCGACCCGCGCGCGCCGTTTGTCGTCGCCGTTCATCGTCGTGCGGTCCCGCAGCAATTCGTGGCCCACATTCGCCGCCGTTGAATATTTACCCTCCGACCCCTTCTAAACCCCCCCCCCCGCCTCCCATCCCACTTGCCTACGGCGTTTGTATTTGCATGGTGCCGCATGCGGGCTGCATCGCCGCGGGATGCACCGCAAAGCAAACCCCATAGGGAGAGCCTATTGAGAGCGCGCACAGTTTCTCCTTCTCCTCCCCCTCCTTTTTCCTCCTTTCTCCTTTAGTTTTTAAAAGGAGAATGCCTCCGTTCCCCCCCCCCCCGCGGAACACGGATAAGGATCTCTGTGTCGTTGCTACTGAATTGTTACGTACTGGGTGTCGCGAATTGAACGCATCCAGCGTCTTGGAAGACTTTTGCGACGGAAATATGTTGCGATAAAAGTAATTTGCACAATGTTTGAAAAAAATTCTACTTAATAAAACAAAATTGAGAGGTCCGCGCGAGTAGACTCATCGCGCGGTTTGCAGCTAGCGGTCATTCTCGCACTCTCATTTCAACCCTTTCTCATATTCGTTCTCTTTTCCTCACTTTTTCATCTCCCAGCTCACTTACATAATTCTATACCGCTCATAACTCATAATATTACTACTAAAGTATCTCGCCGCGACTAAAGAAATAAGCTGATAAAACAACTTCTTAAAAGAGATAAAATATTTTAAAGGGATTAAATGTTTTGAAATTAAAAAATATCAATTGAAAATTATTGCCAATTTTTGAGAGTCAAATCATAATTTACGTATTTAAATAACATTCGTAAATATCATAATATCTTTTAATAGCAATATCACAAGTAATGCGGTCGCATTGCGGTGCAAATAAAAATTTAATATTCTTCCTTAATAAATACCGAAATAATTATCAAAATGTTCCTCTTGAGATTTAAATTACTGTAAATTCTGCACGGAATTCTCATAAGAATCATTTAAAGAAATCGAGTCATAATTTAATATTTTTTATAAATAGCAATATCAATGCGGTAGCGTCGCGATGTCCAGAATATACGAATATTAATATTTCTCTTAATATTTTTTATAATATTCTCTTTTAATATATCACTCTTCAACAAGTTATTCAACGAAATTATCAATAAACGCTTGTTTCGCAAATTAAATTACTGTACAAATTCTGCATAATTTTCGTAAGAACCATTTAAAGTCTTTAATCGTATTATCGAATTAACTGAAATTAATTAGCATCTCTACAATTCACACGCGTTATATGGAAAGTGGCGAAAGTGGGGGAAATCTTCATTAAAGGAAAGATTCGTGGAAAGGTCGTTATTGCTTAAAACGATATTGAAGCCGGTTATAACCCGGTTATACCGCGACTACGTAATTATCCGGGAGGGAGTCGCCGGCTTAATTAGCGTGAGGGCGTGTACTTACAATTGTGATTCAGATGGGACAGCTCCAGCGCCGTGCATTTGTATCGATGCCTGGATTCCAGCGTGGGTATCACGATACCGATCACCAGGCTCGAGTCCTTCTCGTGGTAGCACACCAGCGCGTCGCATTCCTTCCCGTCTGCAATGCATAATTATGCGGGAGCGTGATTACGTGTCTCTTCTTTTGGCGCAGTTCGTCGACGAGCAGGCTCGAAACGTGTTTAGAAAGTATTCGAGCCTTGAATATACATAAGCGAATTTTTGTGAGATATTTTTTCACTTAATCGTGCAACGTATAAATCTTGAAGAACAAAAACAAAATAACAGAAAGAGGCTGTGAACCAGAAGCGCGATTGTTGAGGCGTAAAAGACGTTAAAAATTGAAATACAAGTAAGAAGTTATTAATTGACAAGTGAAAGTTTTGAACAGCCTTTTTTTGTTGTTTTTTTTTTTATTTAAGTATTTTTAATAACTTTACATCGCAATAGTAAATTGTTTTTTTCAACAATTTTCAATGAGATCTTAATTTAAGTACTCGACTTAAATTTATCGTAATCGTCTTACTGCTACTTAAGTTTTTGCAAAATTATTACAAAACTATCCATTACGAAACCATGCGGCCATTGAAATAATTTTAAGAGGCTTTCGAAGGATTTTATGTATAAAATACACGACACCCGCTCAAATCGATCAAATGTCTTTGATCGACCTTTGGATTTTTCACAATCAGCAAAACATTATTGAGTAAATTAACAGGTCGATTTTCAGACGAATTAACTTAAAATTAGATGACTCTTTGGCGTGCTAACGGATGCGTCGGCAGCATTGCGCATTCCACGTGCAAGCCGCCGAAGATTCTCCTCTCATGAATATATGAATATGAATATAAAGCAGAAATTTGGCGCCTGTCTGCGAGCTCATTCGATCCGAGAGAGAGTTTAAGTGGAACAAGCGTTACGCGGCGGCGGCGGCGGCGGCTGCGGAAGGGACGGAAGGGTGGCGAGTGTAATAATTCGCGCATTATCGCTTCCGTTTACTTGGAATTTATTCGCCGCCTAGTAGTCAGAGCTGCGCGTAACCGTTCACTCGAGGAATAGATTAAATCGTTATCACCGGCACGCCATTATGCGCGTAAAACGTCCCATAGAGATAAATAATGTGCGTTGTAATAACCGTGCTTATATGACGCGCGTTTAAAGGAAATCAGTTACGGTGTGCTTTTTCGTTTTTATCACAATCCCGATGTGTTTATCGGATCGTACGTTTACGAAGAGCCCGATGCGTCGAAAATACTTGGTGAAAAAGTGAGAGGAATAAACTCTCTCATCTCGATTATTTTCCGATCACATCCCGATTTAAATAATCGCAAAATATTGCTATCGATAAGTCGCTTGATATTCAAATGAGATTGAATTGTAACGTTAATATCGGAGAAATTTGCATTTACATTGTTTACTTAGAAAATTAGCGAGCGCGCATATTAAAATTATTCAATATTTAATTACCTATTAACTTATTAATAATATTAAATTATTTAATTTAAAGGCGTCATTTATTGCTGAACAAATATAATTATACGTTATAAATACAAAGCAGACTATCTAAAGAATGAAATTTTCTGCAAATTTAATGTAATCTAATAATATCTATCGTAATGGAAATATCTACAATGATTAAAATGACGTATTTCCTATGTTTCCATTTATTATGCATGGCTGGAATGTGCAACAAAGGGATCTCGTCCCGAATCTGGCTATTTTAGCGGACCGATTATAGACTCAAGTTTAACTGACTTGACCTTAATGAATTGAGAGAGCCGAAGGGCCGAAAGTCTGTCATTCCGCTCGCGAAAGTCGAGCAAACGATGGAAACCGATCGGCACTGTCATGCTCGATTTCTCACGACGAACGTCCGTCCCACGACATCTCGCCGCATCGTACGGCGGGCAGCGGCGGGAGAAAATTACGACGATTACCGGCGGATTCCCGGAACGCAGCGGAGACGGAGGGACGTCTCTCTCCGAACGCGCGCCCGCTTGCTCCTTCGCCATTAGCGTCCGCTCTCGGCGAGGTCCGTTTTCTCCGTCACGTCGGCGAGATCGCCGGCGCGACGTGACGGTATCATTTCTGCCGGTCGACCGCGAAGCAGCCGCCCGGCTAATGATATCTCGTTGCATGGCTAATGCCGCAAATTGCGGCCCCGCGTAATTGGGCCCGACGCGACGTGATGCTGCAATTCAACGCTCCCCTTCGCCGGGACGCGGAGCAGGAGGCGCAGAAATAACGCCTCGATGATTTGGGACGTCTCTCTGATGCCTTTGTGCCGCCTTCTGTATAATGACTTTCGAATATTTGTTTTCTGAAACTTATTCGGGAGATAGAAAACGAAAGTTCTCTCGAGAAAAGATTTTGGAATTTTCCACCAGAGATTATAAATTTACATTTAGAACAATATGTGAGATTTCACATGTGGAGATTATTTTGCTCTGAAAATAATACTAAATTTCAAATATTGGATCAAAACATTTGAAATGTCTTTCTGATGCCTTTGGGACGCCTTCTGTATAATAGCGGTTCAAATATTTATGTTCCTCGAAATTTATTTGGGGTTATTCTAGAAGCTGAAGAAAATTCTAGAGAAAAGATTTCAGGACTTTTGTACGAGAAATTATAATAAAGGTACGGACTTAAAAACATTAATTCTTCTGAAAGTAGCCAAAAAAAATTATAAAAGTTTGTGGAAAAAATTCCCCACAAATTTAAGAAAGATTTTTATTGCAGGGGTACGAAAAATGACATGTTTTACGGATTCCTTCTGCACATAATCTATGTAATTTCGTAAATGCGCTCTTTCAACCTGAAATAATAGGGACTAAGCCTTTTCTACCTCATTCTATCACGTTGAATCGCAAGGCGCGGTTAAATGTTGGCAATAATCCCACTTTAATTGTTAAACGTAATATGCAAAGGGAAAAAGAGAAAGAGAAGCCCGATGTAATGAGTCGCGTCGTTTTACCGTTCATATTACAGCGCGTCTGAAATATTGAAGCACCCGGGAAACGGCGGCATCGAGAGAGAGAGAGAAAGAGAAAAAGGGGTCCCCGTAAAATCCTTTGAAAGTTCCTGCCCCTGGCGGAATTAGCGTTACTTAAGTAAATTGCGCGAGAGCGGGAAGAATTAAAGTGCGATCGGCGGTGAGCAAAAGAAAGAGGAAAGAATGAAGAAGAAAAAAAGACAGACGCAGCTCATTAAGCCCCGACTAAATCGAGGTTCCTATTTACGCAAGCTCCTCCCCCAGAACATGGTCTTAGATAAAACGACATTGTGCCATCTTCTGTGCCTGCGCAAATTTTCCACCTTTTCTCCCTCTTTTCTTCCCTGCTTTTAGAAGGATTAAATTTTCGGCGGAATTCCACTTTCGAAAGAACTGAATTTTTTTTACGCGCGAGAAACTGCATTTTTTTGTAATTTTTTACGATTCTTCGTTGCCAAAGTTCTCCGTAAAATTTTACTTCTGAAGAAGTTAGAATTCTTTAGAAGTCTGTTTCCTTTTTAAAATCTTGAAAGTTAGAATTATAGAAAATTGGACTAATTTTTATTGAAAAATGCTTATTTATATCGAGATTTTGTTTAATTCGCCTTTTGTAAAATTTTGTCGACTCTTAAAAAATTAGAAGAAATCAAATCTTTTAATTTTCTAGGAATTAAAAATTCTAGGATTCTAAAATTATGATAAGATTAGCTAAGATTAAAATTTTAGCAAAATTTCTAATCTCCTCTCATTTTTTTTCCAGATAGATTATTATAAATTTATTAATTCTTATTCCCAATCGTGAAGCATATAACGCGCTGCAATCTTGTAGTCGTAAAGCAAAAGCTGCTGCACTTTATCACTCATAAAATTAACCTCCCGAGTCTCATGTTCTTTTCAAGATAAGCAATCCCGTAAAAAATTCATCCCTTTCAATTTGCAATACACGAGACGCCCGGCGGGGCGGCTAAAAAGGAGGAAAGCAAGATCCCGAAGGATCTTAAAACGCAAACGTCCGGGAAACGATTCCCACGGGACTCATCCCCACTATCAGCATTATTTAAACAAATCGAGCGGACGCGGAAACGACGGGAGGGAGAAAGCCGGAAGGATTAAGACGACAATCGGCGAGATGGTAAGAAAAAGGATCAAGAAACAGCCGCTTTAATTTCCACGCCGGAGTCTCGCGGTACTTCTCGCGGTAATTAAGAGTCGCAATTAAGTGGGCGAAAAAGCGCCACTGATAATTACCGCCGGCGTCCCGGCGAATTTGTCGCCGCGAAAAAAAGACGCCGAGCGGGATAACGAAGACGGAGGGGGGGGGGGGACCTTCGGCCCGTCGGGATTTCCTTAGTCTGCCGGGATTAGGGCGGGATCCTGGCGCGATCCGCGCGACTTTGGACTTTACGTCGCGCCGTATTCACGTCTTTAGACAATGAGATTCCGGGCGTTTCGGGATCTGCAGATCGGGGAAGTTTGGAAGGGCGGAAAATTAAATTTCTCCCCGGCGCCGCTCCCCCTCGGCAGGATTTCCGGTATTCCAGAATTTCGGGTGTCGCGCAAATCCTTCTTTCTTCGCAAAATTATATTTTACATCCTGGAAAATTGAACGCCCGATGGTCCGTGGCTTTCCCGGGGTCTTTAAATTGTCGGGGAAAAGTGTAAAAAGGGATTTTACCGCGTGTAAGTCTTCAAAATCCTGAATTTGCCTCGAGAATTCCGGGATTTTCACGGTTCGAGGATCTCGGGATGCAATTCCTGAGTGGCCGGCGAGATCGCGCGAGGAAGTTACTTTGCGATTTATGCACTCACCGTTTTCCTCGAGACGGGCGAACTTGTCCCTGCAGAGTAATGCAAGTGGCAGCCAACAGCGTGCGTAAAAGGCGCCAGCTGATAGCAGCAGCAGGATGACGAGGACCGCAGCAGAAGCGATTTCCGCCAGGATCCGTTCGGAAGGCTCAGCATAAACTGCGGTTCTGCAAAGAGAAAACAACTTCAAACTTTGTAGAGAAGACTCTAAGTAACAGACACAATAAATGTAATAACAGACAGTAATAAAACAAACGTGTTTCTCAAATTAAAAAGCAACATCACGCTGCTGCGATTAAGTGCGAAAATTTCTAACTTTCTTGCACTTGAATTTTTTCTACCTTTTCTTAAAATACAAATTACGCAAATCCTTATAAAAATGAATCATTCAAAATACAGAAATAGAATATTTCATAAAGAATTATTGCATTTTTAAAATTGCATTGCGGATAATATCGAAGGTTAACAATGAGGTGTTACAATGTAAACATCCAGGCTGCTAAATGGTGAAAAATTAAATTTTGAAGTTGAGTTTAATTTAAAAGTGAGATTTCACGGTTGTACAGCGCATTGTACCAATTTGTTCGAAACTAATTTATCGCACCAATAATTAAAATCGATAAAGTAAATCGTCGGCGTGCGGTATATTTTCTGGACATTTCCGGCGATTATTATGTAAAATGAATTCGATGCGCATATACTCGTAACGCAACGAAATTGAATGAATGCATTTTACCCTTTCAGCCGTAACTAACAATAACAGTAAACAACTGTAAATAACAAGAGAGATTATTTTATGCGTCGTGTTCCAAGTTTCATTCAAATAGAGATTTATGGTTATTCAACGTAATGATTATTCAATATAAATTAAATTAAAAAGAATATTAACAAACAATATATTTAGTAGAAAGAGCCAAATTAATATTCGATAATAGATAAACATAATATATCGAAACATAATATACAAACATAAAATCGAGAAAGTTGATTCAGCATTCCTTTTTTTATTTTATCATCTCTCGTAAATTGTAACTTTATATGTCGCGATGAGTCCGTGTTATATTCGCGTTAGCAGAAAGAAGAGTTGAAAAATTTCGAAGATCTTTTTAAACTGACCTTGTCGGTACACGTGAGCGGGTAAAGTGATCTCCTTGTCGATGCCGTTGCTGACTTCGCATTTATATTCGCCGTAATCCTCGAGAGTGACATCCTGGATCTCCAAATAGGAGCCGATTATCTGATCGCTCTCCCTGCAAACAAAAATGCACGCTTGTGTCATAACTTTTTTTTTTAAATATTCAAACTATTTCTAAAAAAGACACAAAATTTTTTTAAAGTTGTTAGAAAATTAAAATTAAAATTTTGGTGTCTGAATATTATTAAATTTTTAGTTATTTTTTCAAATTTATTATAAAATTTGATTATCAGAACATTTAATAATAAAATAAAAAAATGTCACGACAAAGCAAATTTGAAATAACAGAAAATCATTTCCACATTTTCAAGAATAATGATCTAAAGATCTATGAATCTTTCAACGACCTGTCAAACAACATTCAATAAAAAAAAAAAGGACAGACTCGAACAAAAAACTTTTGCGGACATGCGACACAGTTGGAATTATCGTCGATTCTCTATTTTCTAGAGTTTTAAAACTTTCGTTACACACTGCGTTGCAACGCGAAAAAGCACGGCATTATTGCACTTTTCGCAGCGCGTTTTGCAATCTAGAGTGCATTGAAGCGCGCGTACGTGTGTTTTGCGTCGCGCTGCTCGTTTTTTCGGCGGCTGTCGACTGCAAACGAAAAGAGGGGGGAAAAAAACAACGGAAAATCCGCGTTTTATTCGGCATTCCCGGTGCGGCGAGCCGCGACGGAGCGAGTTCCGGCCGCATCCCGTTACACAATCATTTAACGCACGGAACATTTCGCCGCGCTAATTTAATTACGAGCGGTTCTCCCGCACGGCGACTTACCCGCGCAATTAATTCCGCGCCGCGCATAATTTCATTCATTCGGCCCTCCGTTTCTCTCCGCCCTGCTCGCGGCGCAACAAAAGCGCGCGCGCTCGTGGAAATGCGAACGCAAACAAATAAATTCGGCATTTCGAGGTATGAGCAGGGGGAGAAAGAGAGACAGAGGGGGAGAAAGGGAGAGAGAAATACGGCATTGTGCGCGATTAAAGCGCGACGGAACATGTTCCACTTAAAACGATGGAAAATTAATTAGAGTCATTGCGTAATTGTCACATAATTTTGCAATGCTGGATTGCTGCGAGGAAATAACAAATCGCTAGGAAATAGCAAGTTTAAAAATTTTACTTTTAAATTACGTTTTCATAAAATAAATATCCTAAGCATTTTACATCAAAAGTCTTCTCTTTTTCCTTTTTAAATAGTTATTTGCGTAAATTAGTTGATCTTGTAATGATCGTATTCAAATAGAAATCGAGAAATATAAATAAAATATACGTAGCTTTGCAATAGCTTTGAATTATGCTTGATTATTGATATTAGTACAAAAATTGATGCTTCCAAAAATTGATGCTGTGAGATTAAATGATTTTTGAACGCGTATTTTGTAATATACACATAAATATACTTACTCAGATATTATACACGTTACAATATCATGTCGACAAGCGACTTCATAGAAGTATACTCTTCAGTTTCCGCTCGTTTGCGATTTTTTCGCGTTACAGTGAATTTGCGGAATTACACAAAGTTGGGAAAATCGTGTAACATTGCTCTGGTTTTGAAATCGGATATGACGCTGCAGAAACTGCTCGCAGTATGAATTCCAATTCTGCATTTAGAAAGACTCGCATTAAAAGCGAGATAAATGAATTGCATCATGCCAAAAAAAAAATAACATCCGAGATATACAGCTGACAGACATAAATTTAACTTTTAATCTTTTAACCTTTAAATTTCCAACATTTTGAGTAACATTTAAATGTTATTTTGTAAACTCTATTACATTTCGTATTATTTTCCGGCAAAATATTGGACCAATTTTATTTCCAGAAATTACATAACTCTCGCTACGCTCAAAGCTGAAAATGTTAAAATAAAAACAAGATCGTATTGATAATAAAATAAAAATTATTAAAATATCGATATTTCTGATACACGTCGCACTCACTAATTAAAATTAAACTCGATTCATCCGCTATTTATCCGATCAAGAGGATAAATAAAGTAAAAAAAAAAAAAAAAAATTAAACGGTCCGTCACTTCCACATCGTTCGACTTCGGCCGGTCGCGATTCCAGCCGTTTGTTTGCTCGCACTGTTGATATTTAGCGGATCGGTGCACGTTCAGATCTGACGTTTATGTGCTCACAATGACATTTATGAGAATCGTGCAGTTTGTACGTTGCACCGCGCGCGCGGCCGGCTTTCTCCCGCGTCTCGCAATTTACCAGCTGCGCGCCGGGCCAAATAAATCCTGGCCGCGATATCCACGGCTTGGCACAGTCGATAGTATCGAGCGAGGTATACACGTTGCACCACCACCGCGGGTCACCTGGCATGGATCCTAGATCCCATATACACGGCAGACATTTCGTCACGGGTCGCCGAGTTCGCGTGTCCAAAACTCATCGAAATTCTGGACTCGCGCAATTGTGGGGGAAAAAAAAACAAAAAAAAAAAAAACTCTCGACTCGAGGCGCGATCGAGGTTCGAAATACAGATGATTTAGAAACGTTGTTGTAATTTAGAATGATCGCGTCGGTGGGCTTTATCGATTATCCGTTCTAGGTATTACGGCGGCTTTTTATTCGATTAAAGTGCCGCGAGCGTCATCGAGCGGGTACCACCACTCGTTTCTGCGAACGCTCTATAAATTCCGGGCCGTTAAGTTGATTAAAACTATTCCAATTGATGGCGCATAACGTCAGGCCTTCATGGTCGGGTCCCGCGAACCCTCGGCGCTAATCGATTGATCGGATCGAAACAGAGTGTTCGGAAAAGTGCGCGACGTCGAAATGTAACTCGGTGATTTACTCTCCCTACTTTGCCTCTTAAAATCAATTTTACCTGCGCGGACATGAAAATCACCGTGAAATAAAATATTCCATTGGCAGCGATATTGTTATTTGCTAATTTTCAAATATAATCGAAAGAATCTTTCGTAAATTCGCGATTAAAAATATGCAAAGTATTCGACATAATGTTTCCAATTCGCTTCTCGTTATCGGCAGATTTAAACGTCGCTTTTATATCTGTAACGATTTATTTGAAATAAAATTTACGATTGACAATAAAGGTACTTTTTAGAGAACCGCGATTGAAAGACGATAAAATATTAAATGAAATAATACAATAGAAAAAAGTAATTCATGTGCTTAATATGTATATTTCTAGTAATATTGTAGCAATAGAACAAACAATGCAATTATATATTAATTATGATACTGTGATTATTTACAGGATCATGTGTCAACAGATAATTAATGTATATTATGATATGCCTGTAATGCCGGCAAATTAAATTAAATCATAAATAATATATAAAAACAAATAATTTAATAAATATAGAATAATGAATAACACACTGCTTGCTATAATTTGTAAGAGCGATCGTCCGCCGCAGTATTGTCGTTGTTACGCGTTGCGTGAGCAGTTCCTCCATTAGAGATCGGTTCGCCGCAATTAGTGGACAATTGCCGGCGCAATTCTCGCAATTATTGCTCGATACGGAGCGAGAGGACGCGTTTAGAAGCGGTTATTTTTACTTAGAAAATTGCCCGACGTATTCGGATCCGTGATATCGCGGTGTCGCGCTGAAATTGGGTTCTCGATTCGTATCCAATTCTTGCCCGCCTCTCATCACCGCTATATCATTTTTCCGTCGTGTCGCATTTATCGACTCGCGTTTTCCGGAACGTGCCCGATTCGCGGAATATCGGCTGCATTTGAAGGAGAGATGGAGAATTCCTCTCGTGGATATTCCTGCATACGTCTCGAACTGTGACAATAGATTAAACCGTGCACCACGATTTTTCAAATCACAATACGTTATTTATACAATATCTACATATTACATGCAAAATATAATTTCTAAAAAATAAAATTATGGTAAGAAAAACATTAATATTGAATATAAAAAGTACAGAGATATTTCCAGAAATAAATGCTTTCTTTCTGCTGTAAATTTTCGAACCGAATAATTCATCGTAAATAAATACACAATATATGAATAATTATATTAACTGTTCTGTAAATAAAGAACCAGCAACGATAGAAATATATTGCATTAATTCTTTCTTACTTTTTCCACCGTTTTTAATATTTTATCATCCGACTATCATTTGTTACAAAAAAGTAATTTTTATCGTCAATCAAAAATTCCATTTTAATTAAAAACTTAAAATAGATTAAATCGTTATAAATATATCGTAGCATCGTTCAAATTTCTCGATATCGAGAGATGAATTAAAAACGTTGTTTCAAATTAATACTCTTATTACATACGTCTTCGATATTCTCATATACTCAACATCATGTCATCGTACCAGTAAAATACCTGAATGTAATAGTAGTTAGAATTAACCAATCTAAAAGTTAATTATTATTGAAGACAATTTTTTCTATCGAAATAATATTTTTCTTAAGTTTTTCTATACATAATAAAAATTAGTTTGCTAAACTGAAATAAAAGCAATTGATAATCAATTAAACATTGGCAAAAAAATTAAATAGCAACTGTTTTATAATTATATCAATTAGAGATTGGGACATGTTCGGGCACTTAAATTCTTGTAGAAATTAAATAGAATAAAAAATAAATTAAAGAAAAACATTTCCTAGGAGACACACGCGACTCCCGGTGAGTGCCAAAGTAAATTGCCCGTAGGACGAGCTGTCGCGTGACGAATTAGGGTGTCCGCGAGGGCAATTATTCACGCGCGTGCGACCACCTATCTCCACCCTCCCTCCTCTTCACACGCGATAATATTCCGCGATTAACGACCGCGTTTAAATCTCGTAAGCTCGACACCCGAAACCGGTGCACGCGCCGATAACGCCGCTCGCTAATTTAATCGAGCAAATCGCACGTAAATCGACCGCATTAATGCAACACAAGCCCGATCGGCGTCGAGATCCGGCGAGATGTCCGGCGTGTAGAACTCCGTCGGCGGATTAGCGCCGAGTATTTTAGTAAGCACGGATTTGGCCGAGAATTCGAAATGTTTCGCATGGGATTTAAGCGCGGGACGGCGATTCGCCCCTTGAAGAAATTAGA